ATTTCCTCTGAAATCCTCTTTCATAGGGTATTGCTGCTACTTTACTTCTCAAAGCATATAATTGAAAATGTGTTCTAACCTCATGGTGCTACACTGCCTTCCTAACACAACCTTTTTATACTGAATTGCACTATGTTAAATTGCATAAAGAAAAATGTGGCTATTCTAAAATGCTTTAAAATCCATGAAAACCAGAATGTCAAAGAGCTCATGTGACCCTTTTATATTGTATAGCTGAAGAAAACTGAGAAATTCTTTCTGAACAGAACAAATATAAAACCAAATCAGCCACATGGAAGGAATTTCTGGGATAATAGATTTGATTTAGCATGCTACCTGTGAGCCCCATGCATGGATTGGGATCTCGCTGTGTTAAATATGTTAGAATAAAAGATGGTCTCTACTCTTTCTTTCTTAGCAAGAGGTCTCGAATAGCAGTAGAGGGAGGAATGCATGAAGGCAGTGGTAGGGAATGAGTGCAGTCAGGTTCCCCTTGCTCCACAATGTCTGAGCTACGTTGTGCCATGGATGCGAAAACCTCTTGCAGGCACCTGACGTGGCAGGTCCTGCACCATGCTCCCTGGACCACAAGGGGCTGAGGAGCACCATGGAAAGGCATCTGCTTGCTCAGAATGAGGTCATGAATCATGAGGTGAGAACTGATCCATCCAGGTTTATTAACTTCATCTTAGAACTAACCTTGACATGCCTTCAATAGAAAAATTCCTGCATTCCTATAATGTGTTTCCTATGTCTTAGGTTAGCTTAGCTATCCTGTTTCATGACTAGACAATAAATTGTGATCTCAGTAGCGTAACTCCTGTTAAGTATTTGCAGTTTTGTCATAATTTCTTTTTGTATTTTAGAGGTGTCATGAAAAGGAGAGATATAAGACGAATTTGAGGAAAATCAGTCAGGTGACTAAATAGATATTTGTGGGGTGTCCCTGTAAGTAGGGAACAGTGGCATGGGAGAAAATATGAAAATACATGGCTGCATATATGACAGGCTGGTATTGGAGAGAGGACAGAGCACCCTAATATTAGATAAGGGATGAATGGACCCCAGCTGGACTGTGAATGTATTTGACAGAGAGAGTGATTTTTGTTGTTGTTGTTTAATGTAATAAAAAGAAAAATAGCATAGAGAATCAGGAGATGAGAGTTTTGTGAAAAGAGCATCACTGACAGCAGGATGCACATTGGATAGCAAGCAGGCAGGACTGTGTTTAAGGTCAGAAAGGAGAATGTTGCAATGACTGAGGCATGATATAAGAACTTAGGTAAAAGTCTACCTGTGTGTATGGATTTTAGAGCTGATAGGCAAAAAGAGTCTTTAGATGTAACCAAATTAAACCTCAGAGAGAACAGAATTAGAGATGACAACTAGTTTATGTATATAAGTAATGAGTAGTTTGGGGATGGCTCACCAGTGATGTGTAACAGACATTAAAATGCATGAAAAGGAAAGGAATGCTGTGCATGGTACAGTAAAAGATTCTGGATGCTGTTTGGTGAATTAACATTGTAGTAATATAATACAGGGTTAAATCTTTAAACTTGAGAGGTCATGAGGGGACCACTCATTATTTCACTTAATATCATAAAAGCTGATGATGTTCAGCTGGTCTACAGTAGTCATAAATAACAACTGGAAAATTTCTCGAAATATGTGCGTGTGTATGTGTTCATAAGAAAAAACTTCTTACTGTGAGGGTGACAGAGCACTGGAATAGGCTGCCCAGAGAGGCTATGGAATCTCCTTCACTGAGACTTTCAAAACAAATGCAGGTGTGTTCCTGTGAAACCTACTCTAAGTGAACCTGCTTCGGTAGGGGCTTGGTCTACCTGATCTCCAGAGGTCCCTTTCAATTCCCACTGGTCTGTGATTCTGTGTATGTACGTATATACACACATACACATCACAGAGAGAGAGCTAAATGTTTGTGGGAAAAGCAAACTTATGTAGGTGGTAAAGTTGTCAAGCTTTTAAGCAGACAGCTTTTTAGTCTGCTGAAGGTCTTTTGTTCCTGAAAGCTTTTGTCACTGGACTAATAAAAAACATTCCTTCTGTTTTAGACCATGTGGACTCCTGAACAAGCTTGGCTATGACAGTGTTGCTTCCACAGCATGTATTTGATCAAAATAGCAAACAGCAGGGAACCCAGGTTAATCCATTTTGATTTTCATTTAGCTAATGGAAGATACTCCTCTCCCCACTAAAATAAAGACTGCAACACATAGTCTGATCACATAAGACTGTTCTCCTTTATAGTAACAAGTTTTTAAAATTTGTGTAACCACATGTGGCAAGAATTTGAGAAAAGAGTAGTCTTCCAGTGGCACAGAACTGGCATAGAGACTTTGTGTGAGCTTTTACAACTGTTAGAATATATAAGATTAAGCTAAGCTAAGCTAAGGTCTTTTGGGAGTGGTTGACCTTTCTTCTCTGTAAGAGACTGTAAGCTTATGTTAATTTTAAACCTAAACAATATCTCTCCTTTTCCTAGTCCTGTACCTCCTCTTTCCTTGCCTGCCTGCTCCTTGACCTTCCAGCTCTCTCACAAGAAACTGAGGGGTAGTTCATCCCTGTAAAACTATTACTCTTCCTTTTTTTTCTTAATTATTGTTTTCAATTATTGTTAGTGTCTCAAAGATTTTTCTATTTGATTGAAACATTGGTTGTTTCTCTTTTTCTGAAAGTTTCAACACATGTAGATTTTATGGTAAAAAATAAACAAACAAACAAACAAAACCCACAAAAAAAACCCCAAAAAACATTAGTAGGAAGAGCAGAGGGGAATTTTGTCTTCTTCCCCGCCTTCCCCTAATCCCCACCCCAACGCCATGCTCTTCCATGGCATTTCGTTCTAACGTGCGTGCTGCTCGCGTGCTTTGATCTGTGGAAGCCTGTGTGAAGGGTGACATATTTTCACTGCTCACATCTGTTCCAAGCGATCTGTTCTGCTGCAGTTCAGCAAGTAGCAGTCCATACTGAGACCATTGCTTTCTTTTTTCTTCCAACGTAGAAACCTATGTCATGCAATTTACCGTTTAATTCGGGAGAATATGAAAAGGATGGAATGTGCTACTCATTGGGTAACTAGTATCAAGGCTGCCTATGTAACCTTGGTTCCTCCTTGTTAAATGTATGCCTTGCATGGGCAAATTCATATCTCAATTACATAGATTTTCAGTGTGAACACCTGTGTAATTGAAAGTGAAGCTGTCCACAGTATTTAGTTACACGACATTTTTCCTCCCAAGGGTTCCCTGGTAGATCAGTGTGCATGACAGAGAGCATTCAGTAAAGGAGGCAGCTGCTTAATTTTTGTCATTGCTGTTCACTGTACAGTCCCTATGAAACCCTGCATGTTGCAAGTTCTTCCATTAATAAAAATGATATTCAGTAAAGGAGGCAGCTGCTTAATTTTTGTCATTGCTGTTCACTGTACAGTCCCTATGAAACCCTGCATATTGCAAGTTCTTCCATTAATAAAAATTATATTCTTTTCCTGCAAATCCTGTTTTGCACACTTGAAAGTCTCACATATCTGAATTAATGTACTGGGAAGTATTATACCTGTTTTCTGCATGAGGAATTGAGACCCAGCGACCTTCCCAAATCGGGAAAGAAATCTCTATCGGAACCGATCTTCATCAGTTCCAATTGAAACTTAAAAGTGGTCTAGACCAGCTTTTTCACTTCAAATCTGACCTTTTTGTCTTCAATCATGCCTTGAGTTGGTTCAGCCAGGCCATCTCCTGCCACTCATGTTCTGTACACAAGCTAATTTCACATGCTTTGTAGATTGTGAAAGGAGTAAGGAAAGAATCCTGAAGAAGTAAATTTTATCTGATCATGTAATCTGATTGTACATCACTCAGACTTAAGTTACCTCTGGCATTTTTTTTTTTTTTTTGGGTGCAACTTTACATAATGGACTTCTATGGATGTAGTTCTATAATAAACAACAAATGTATGATTTAACTAGTTCATGAATTATTTTTTTTTCAAATAAGATTATAATAGTTTTATGTGCAAAGTTCTGTGGGTTTATGTTGGACAAGAAAACAATTTAATAAACTGAAGGAGGTCCAGCACAGTTCCAATAAATATATCGTTAATGGTTAATATTCTTGTTAAGAAATCTGTTTCTGCAGTAATGGGTGTGGATTGTCACTTCATCAGGCATTTGGAATAGTACCAAAGTGAATTTAACACTGATACTGCAAGGGACAAATCCTATGAGAGCTGCAATAGACCACTGCTAGCAGTATGCTTTATTTGGTATGGAGGTGTATGAACAACACAGTTTAGTAACTGTAGAGGGTGTTTAAGAGCTATTTCTTCCAACCCTTTGTTCTAATGCTCTCTGTGCATTTTTTTTTTTTTTTTTTATTTTTCTATACAAAGACTAGTCCTCTTTCGAATCTTATAACAAGGCCACATAAATACATAGGTATGCGTAAGATTTTAAGTTTAAATATGTGTGCATGCGTATGTTACTAATTTTAAAATGTCTGTGGAGAGATTCACCACTTGTTATTTTCACTAATAAAGAGGGAGTCAACATGGGGCAAATGTGTATGGCTCAAGCTTTAAAAGAAAGACCAGGTGAGTCTTGTACTAGTCCTTTGTTTCTTCTCTGAAACTTAGTGAAGGGAGATTTTTTTTTTCTGCTTATGGAAGTGCGTATCCTCAGATGAAGTAGATGATTTCAGTGGCTATGTATTGTGTTTCAGTGTATGTTTGCTTCTCTTTTTGTTTCTTGAGTGGAAACTGCATGGAACAAACTCATGATCAAGTGAAGGATAAAACTTTTTTCAAAGGAGGGGTAAAGTCTTCTGAACCTCCTATCTTCTTTTTAGCAACCACAATTTGGTTGCTAGTATAATTATGAGAGAAACAGAATTTTGTTTTTGCGAGTTTGTAGGTGTCCTCTCAGTGAACACTTGGAGATGCTACAGAAACTTCCTTTTTGCTTTCTTTCTCTCCAGATGGATGAGATAAAAGGTAAAGACAGGGTGATCCTGGCTCTGGAGAAAGATCTTGGTGTCCAGACAGGCCATACACAGAAACTGCTCCTTCAGAAAGAAGCTTTGGATGAACAGCTTGTCCAAGTAAAAGAGGCAGAACGATACCACAGTAGTCCTAAGAGAGAGCTTCCTGCAGGAGTGGGGGATATCACTGAACTGATGGGAAGCCCGGTAAGAAAAATGTCGTTTCTTCAAATGCTCAGCACAGGATAATTGCTGCCTGGGTGTTCACATTGGTTTTGTGCTTACTTTTAAAATACCAGAACAACTAATACCCGGCCAACGGTCCTGCACTGCACTGTGCTGTTTCATTAATTATTTAGAAACTTTGGACCTCTTGAATTTCAAAGAATGTTGAAAACTACATTGACATAAAACTTTAGAATTTACATGATGAGATGCAGCTGTAAACCCCATTATTTTCTTAGTTATTAATTTAGAAATTATTGGTTATTAGTTTAGGAATTATTTTAACCGATGGCAGGTAGATACTGTACTCAAAAACTGAGACGTAATTTTAACCTGTGTCCTGTGCACTAGAATTGTTTTAGCTGATAGTAAGAAACCGTTGAGAAGTAACTACTAATACATGAAATATTGTTTATCTAGCTACTTTTTTTTTAATTGTTAAAACTTTGCACACATTTCACAAGCAGACACATTTATTGTAATACATCATGTAGCATTTCCATCCAATTTCCACCATTTCCAATGTTAGTGTTCAGTGTTTCAGTTAATTAAAGATCAAAATAAGTGTTCCAAACATTGTTAGATGAGTCTATTTTAAATTTATGCAATTCATTTGCTAAACCATGATATTAAATTGTAGATAGTAAAATACTTTCTTTAAAGTAATTTTATATATCTGTATGTTTTTGATGTAAAGGAGCAGCATTTGGATGAACGAGATGTGCGGAGATTTCAGTTAAAAATCGCTGAACTGAATGCTGTAATAAGGAAGCTGGAAGACAGAAATACTCTCTTAGCAGATGAAAGAAATGAACTGGTAAATTAATTAGTAATAACACAGATGGTGACAGGGAGGGCATCTGTGTGGTAAAAGATTTAATGTTGGAAAGTCGGTGTTATAAATAATTTACAAATTAGTCCTGGTTGTGCTCAATCAATTATATCTAAATATAACAGGGATTTCTACAGAAATTCACTTTGTGACCATGAAAGACAAGCATGAAGTCTCTCTTGTTCCATAAAAATAAAAATTTATAAGTTTCTTTTGGGGTCTTCATAATCAAATTGACTGGTAGCTTGCCTGTGGCACTGTGTACTGTTGTTGTGTAAAACATGCATAATCTATGCACTTAAAATGCTATATTAATCTTTTTGAAATTTGACATTGGTTTTGTGACATGCTTATGCCAGTTAGGAGTTAAAAAAGCTTTCTCATGCTAGAGATGAAAAATCTGCCATTTCTCAAGGGAAATCTCTTAAGTAGGTGAAATTATCCTAGGAGAGTGACAGTAACTTACAAAAGAAAGGATATGACATGAATTTTAAGAATGAAATTTATTAGCTTGTATTGCTACTTAATTGCTTGTGCTGAGGTTCATGGTAAAACTCCCATTGAAGAAATGGTAAGTGAGTCTTAAAACAGGAATTTTTACATGTCTCCTCTTAAAGCCCAAATTCTAGTGGCAGTAGAAAAGATTTTTTTCATTCTAATTAGATTTTTTCCCTCACGCAGCTCCTATATCTGATTCTAAAATAATGCTTTTATGTATAGAGACTGTCTGTTGTTTTGGGGTTTTGTATTGTGTATCATCCCCCACTTTTACTGGTACAGTTGCTTTTCTCTGCTATGTAGTCTCAGGAACATCTTGTTTTTTCAAGACTGAATTATATAAAGACAAGGTAATTCAGTCTCATAATAATTTCTGTGGATGTAAATAATTCAAAACATGCCTGAAGAATGCTGAAGTACTGCAACATCTATCCTTCAGTGTCCATCTAGATGGCGTGCATATGTGGCTCAGTGAAGTGCTGTTCTTGATGCTTGATTTAGAGGCATAAGAAACATGTTTTGGAAAAGATACAGAGAAGACTTTATCATGTGAGAAAATATTACGTAAAACCAATAACAACAGTAAGGTTGTATGATTAAGTACTGTGAAAAACAGCTTTCTTCTGAGAATGACAGAGAAACCAAATGTTCTGTTAAACTGTCTCAGGAGAAAGATTATATTTTTCTGATTTCCAGTTAAAACTCAGTAAGTTTGAAAACCTTTTATTTGGAAAAAAAAATAGGGGTTTTACAAGCAAAACAGCTCAGGGATTAATGAAATAAAAAGAGTGAAATATTGCATGCACACGAATGCAAGAAAGGGCAGTAGTGTGCTTCACATAATTGTCTAACATCATAAAACCACAGAAACAAAATCTAGCAGCTTGAAAATGTCAGCAGAATGCTGAGATTGAATCTGTGCCCTCTGGCTAACTTCCTCATTACTCTAATTACACATTAGGTACAGGATATTTTGAAGTGGAGGAGGAGGAGTTTATTCCTCCTAAGACATAGCTAAATTGGTGAAAACAACTATTCTAGATACCTAGTTGGTCACAAGAAGCTTATATACAATAAGATTAGTTTATCAAGAAATCACTTTTATGAATCATCATAAGTGTTTTCCAAGAGCAAAATCCAGTGACCAGATCTAGTGTTTTTGTAGACTGTACAAAAATGCTCTGTCTTATTTGTTTCAACTCCTGTACTTCTTAGTTCAGCAATAGTCAATATCAGATGCTACTTAACAAAAGAACTATACTGTCTGAATGAAGAACGTAGGCAAGTGAAAACACATTTCTTCATTCCTATGACTATAAAGTAAAGCACAACTAACTTGGTTCCTTTGCCATTTGCAGCTGAAACGTTCTCGGGAGACAGAAAGTCAGCTGAAGCCTTTGGTAGAAAAAAATAAGAGGATGAGCAAAAAAAATGATGATATGTTGCAAAGTATACAGAGAATGGAAGAGAAAATAAAAAATCTATCAAGGGAAAATGTAGAATTGGTAAGTAATTGTCTCTAGCCCCGTGCTATAGGAATGTGTTGGACATGCTTACCTTGAGGTGAAAGTGCTTGTGAGGCTTTTACTCTAACACATATATTTCAGAGTGGGATAGTATAATTGTCAAATTCAGCCAATGAAGCTTGAATATTCATATTTTGTATTCAGAGTGGCATTTGCTTTGTGTTCATCAGTTCACACTGATTAGGGGAAAAGATTACCCATAGATAAAATGTTTGGAGGCCATAAAAATGTATGACTAAAAATAACCTTTAATACATACTGCTTTTATGATTAGAACTCAGAACTGAATTTGAGTGCATGTGCCAAAGGCTCTACTATGGTAGATCATAGAGTTCACTCATCTGCTAATTTTGTCCCAGACTATGCTCTTTGCTTCTGTTTTAAAATATTTTATGTGAGATATTAATACTGAGATGTACAGAATATATAATCTTTTTTTTTTTTGTAATGATGCTTTATAATGTAGTAGACTATGCAATAGTCTACTATTAGTACAAAGTCTACGATAAGTACAAAGAATTATTGATTCCTACATCACACACAATATTTTCCTCGAGTGTTTAAAATGTTCTTTAGTTTTTTGTTTGTTTGTTTTTGTTTTGTTTTGTGCTTTTTTTTTTAATTTTATTTTCATTTTTATAGAAAGAGAAGTTATCTGCACAACCAGTGCTGAAGAGGCACACCTCTCTAAATGATCTCAGCAGCTCACGAGAAGAACAAGAAATTGAATTCCTTAGGCTACAAGTCAAAGAACAGCAGCACGTTATTGATGACCTCACAGTGGTAATGCTTGTGACTGGTATACACACATGCATGCACACTCATCTGTAGGCAAGCTAAAGATTGGGCAGCAATATTTTAACTCCAGTTGTAGTAGCGACACAGAAATAGTTCTTTTGTTATTGAAGGGTTCTTGTTATTTATCAGGTAGTGAGTGAATGTCTTTGGACTGTGTATGTATCTGTATTATAAAATATTTACCTCTTATGCATCAGACCTTCCACCTTACTTAAAAAATTTGATATCAGCTATTGAGGAACTTGAGGAAAGGACACATTCCAAAATTTAATGAATGAAACGTGTTGGATGTGGACCCTGGTGCAAACCCAACCACTCCCCTGATCTAGATGTTCTCCTAAAAGAAAAAATATGCAGTATGGCATTAATTTCACCTAACTAAGAATCTCTGAGCTGGCTGCATCAGCTGTCTTTATAACAAATGGATACAAATATGCACGGTTCATCTAACCAAAGGTAGCAGCATAATTTAAGACTATAATTGCACAGCTGCTACCCTCTGACTGTGAAGACTACTTAAGATGATCCTCATAGATGCTTGCACTGTTTGATCAGGACTCTTAAGTTGCGTTAGAGGTGTCTAGTGCTACTTAGTGCAACTTATGATACACCCTTCTGGTGCTGGCAGAAACAAGATACCATCTCTGAGAGAACTCTGCCCTTCTGGAGCACCAGCTGAAATGTGGGAGACTCAGAGCATCTCAAACGGCACTGCTTACTGCTACAAAATGATAAAACGAATTTTAAGATCGGTCTGTCTAAACAGAAAATTAAACAATTGGATACAACATTGAAGATAAAAATAGAGATCCAAAAAGATAAAACAACAAGATTTGTTATTGCTCTGTCTGGAACACTGTCTCTATTCTTGGCAGTTCTTCTCAGTTTTTGACCCAGGATTTCTCTTTGTAATCAGTGCCAAAGATTGATGTCTGTGTGCATTCTCCAGTGTCACAGTGTTACAAGCCATAGACTGTTACTTGGACTTTATGATGTAGGGTCTGATTCACAGAGCAAGGCTGCTTTATCTTCGCAATATAACTGTACAGGCAGGGACTATGATGTAATATTAAATTCCCAGTATATGGAATTTATATTCTGTATAAATATACTCACTTGTATTTCAGTGTGAAGTGGGTATGAAAAGGCTCTTATTTTACTGTCTCAGCCAATAATCTGAGAAAATATATTGCATCCTGACTTGGGTCAAAGAGTATTAACTAGTATTTAGTGTGCAAGTGAAGTAAATATTTTAAAATAGGGTTTCATTTTTATTTCCTATTTCCAGATATTATTTCAATTGCATAAGTAAGTTAAATTAACTAAGATACTGCTTTAATTGGCAGTACAAACTAATTGATGTTTTGCCTTTTAAATGAATACAGTGGAATCTACAATAGCGTTACGGTTTTTAGCTCTCTTTTCTGGTTCCAACTGCACCTTTACAGGATACAAATTTATCATAATTACTAAGAATGGCCTGCATGTCACATCCCTGATTAATCCAAAAGTCATTAGCTTGACTTCACCTGACACCAATATGATACACAGAAATAAGAACAATTGTCCTAGGCAATAGGATTGTCTAAACTGATTAGCAGTGTCATTTGTAGGATACCTTTGATGCTCTTGAAGCCATATCAACTTGAGTTCTTCCACGACAGTGGTGTTCTGCTCAATTCTTAAAAGGAAAACTGTAAAGATTAACTCTGAAGATTGAAAAAGATGATAGTTATTCAGCAAATGACATTTCTAAATTAACATTATTACTGGTATGGTAGCTTAATGTATTACTGAGACAGTAAATTGAGCAGTCTTCTAACAAACAAGATTCTAAACAGGGAGGAGTGGGAGATTTTGGAAGTGTCTGTTCGTTCTGCACTGAAATGAAAGTCCAACTGTTTGGACACCTGTTTGGAAGGCAGGAGATCCAGGTTAAAGCACAGACTGTGGCTTAACCAAGTACCTGAGGAGAGAATGTTTTTCTCCAACACTATAAATTCAACTGTGCATTTTCAGCTTTAGCTTAATATATCATAGCATATCATTCTGCAGCTTGAAATACTGGCTCAAATTACCTTGGCAGTCATTACTTTTCCTTATTTTGAAAACCACATGTATTAAAGATGCTAAGTTGTTGTACTTTTCTGAATTATTCTGTTTCCCAAAGCTTCATACCTGGAACATTCTGCCATAAATATAAACTATTCTATTGTGATTTCCACTGGGAGCTTCCTATTTGTCCAGTTTCTGAACTGAATGTAAAGCAGGTAACTCTGAACAGAATAATACCATACAGAGATCAATAAGTACTAGAGAGGCACTTGGAACTGCTATCACTTTGTTTGTGCTGCAAACAAAGGTGCAGAGCTAAGAAAAGAACCATGGGAAAGGCAAGAGACAGAACACCTGCCTCCTATGTTGCTGGGTTTTTTTTTTTATTTTTGCTTGCTCCTTAGCATTTTTTGCCTTCTCTTCCTCTTCTTCTCCTTTGGAATTTAGGGCAGTATTCTTTGACTTAAATGTTCATTGACCCTGCATTTTTCCAGTTATAAACTCCTCCTGTTATGATAGATAATTGTGGTCTTGTTCCAAAGCTTTGGTATAAAAAAAGACACCATCTAAGTTAACACAGACTGAGATTGCCTTTGGATTTGAGACTTTTGCCCTACTAGTCACATGTAACACTGTATCTGCATATGCGTGCTTATATATCAGAGTATGCCTCATGTAATGACTTGTGATTCCTAAGACTGAACTTATTTTTGGCTACCAACCTGCTTGTTCAGAATGGTTGAGCACTGAAGTGAGAATGTGAATTCTGTTTCCATAGTGAGCATCTTGGTAAGAGTCAAAAGAACTGTAAGAAATCTGTGCCGAGTATTTAACAAAGCCTTTTCTTGCCAACTTCCCATCAAGTGTGTGAAGTATATGGCTGAAGGTTTGTTTGCTAAAGGGATAAAGCTGCAGTACAGCATGATGGTTTATCAACATGGCATTATTCAAAAGGATAAAGACGTTGTCTTTGTGTTGTCTTTACCAGAGGCATTAAGAAAACTTTAGTGATATTTCTGTATTAGGATACCTAAATATGTTTTAAAAGAACCCCGTACCAAAATGTTCTCTTTCATTCTAGGAAAGAGAACGGTTATTGCGGTCTAGAAAACAAAAGAGGAAAAGTCTGAAGCCTCCAAAGGTGAGCAAACCTTTAGTTTTCCACGCATTCCTATTGTTGTGAACAACTCTTCTCTCAAACACTGTCTGAAACTAAAGCTCTACTTAAATTAATGGTAAAAGTTCATGTAGTTCTCCTATTTTCTGTGGTGAGTGCTTGTTAACTTAGGGATAATTCAGGAGCTGCAAGTTTTGTATTGCACACAAGTGGTGTTATTTTGGGTTTTGTTTTGGATAAATAGTATAATTACACTTTTAGCCATTGTGGCCTAAATACTTGAGTATCTTGAGGCCAAAATAATCTAGTGGCTTGAAACAACATTTCAAAGGCCAAATAGTAGTTGTTAAAGAAAATACACCTTTTAAACTACTACCAAGTTACTTCTTAGTCGTAACTGAACACTTTACCCCATGCTAGGGATGTTACTGAAATGCTATTTCTGTGTGTGATATATAAATAGTAAGAAATTTCTTACTATTTTTCATTAGTAACTATTTTGCTCCAGAATGCGAAATACAAGAGAAAAATTTCGTTTGTAGAAACAGAAAAATTTGCTTCAGAGTTTACCTTTAATGTTTATTGTAATGTGCTTAAAGTGATTACTTTTGGTGAATAATGTTCTTTTGTCAAGCTGAACATTAGCAGCCTAGGCTGTGAGAGGTGGGTAGGATGGCGCAATAGGGAAAAATGGAAGTGAAGAGTGGATTATCAGCTATATGGTAGTTAAGATGCATTCTGTCACAAATGGGTGCTTGTCAGTGTGTTCTGTGTAGTATATTCCTAGTGACCTCCAGGTGGTGCTTTTTTGTTGCTCTGCGTTCTGTAATACATGTATTCAGAAAGATTGGTCCTTTGGGGTTCCCTGTTTCAGTGGTAATTTCTTCAAATTTTCCTTCTAATAATGTGTCTTTCACATACAAAGAAATAAAAATTCAGAAGTAAAAAAAAATCCTGCATACATTTTTCTGTTATGTAATGGAAGGCTGATGGCAAATATATTTACAGTAACCTTGAACCATTCTTTCTTGGTATAGTACACCTGGAAGTTTGTGTCTTGAGAGAGTGTTAAAAGAGGACATAAAATTAAATATATATATATATATGTAACTAATACTGTAATTTTTATAATCCTCTCTAATTATTAGCCCTTATCCCATTTTAAATTAAATGTGTGAGATCTTTTGCTAAGTTGTAAAGTTCCAAACAAAACAAAACTAGTTAGTTTATTTTTTAGGCATTGCTAACTAATGATGCTAATTTCTATAGGCTAAAAACTTCTATAATTACTCATTTATGTTTCAAAAATCTTCTGTGTGAAGAGAACTTCAGCTAACCTAGACTCTCTACCCATTCCCCTTACCCGTTTTTTCTTGAGCAAGCTGCTGTTTTTCTGGTATTTTATTATTGACCAAAACAAGAGTTGAACAGCTTGAGGGTTGGAGAGAATGTGCATGATACCATTAAAACTTTTTTGCACTGCTTTTCTTTGTGTAGTGAGAGTACTATAACTGGGGCTTTTACAGTGCAAAAAAAGGGCTTTTTTACTGCAAGAATTGTGTGCATATGAGCAGCAGAGTTAGAAAGTGTTTGCTTATTTGTGATAAGATAGATACACCAGGAAGAACAAAATAATCTGTAGCAGACATAACTCCCACTAATTATTCCATCCCTTATCTGTTAGTTTTTCAGTGTGGATATGAAATTGGCCATTTAATTTTTTACTTTGTGCTATCTCCTCAAAGGAGAAGCAGAACTGTAAAACAAAAACAAATGATAGAGTTGTGAGAGAAGAGTCAATGAGATTGTATATACTATACTAGTTATATATACTATGCTGCTTCTTATATAGCTAAAAAATATATAGTTTCTAAATGTGCTGTGTCCTTAAGGAAGAGAAAAAGTCATCAATAATATATTTATCAGTGTCTTATTACCTGCCTTCGTATAAAGCTGTAGACCTCAGAAATACATGCAATGTTGTCTTGGAGTTTAAACACTTTTGATGTTAGTTTCTAAAAATTCAACCGTGGCACATGGGCTAATTTCCTTCTGGGTCAACTGTGTGGGCCTGTGAGGATCAAAATCCTCAAAAGAAACTGTTTTTCTTACAGTTTTCCAGCAGTGTTTTTATTTAAACAGTCTAGGTAGAAGGTACTGCTTACTCAGATGAGCTGTTGAGACTGTACTATCTTCATCCTCAGGTTTTGCAGCCTGTCTTAGGAATCCAGATGAAAACCGCAGAATTCATCTCACTGTGCATTTGCAGGGCTTACTTAGATGCAATTAATGGAGATGAGATACAGACACCTCATTCCAGACTGAATGGTACCATTAAGTGACAATTGTTCTCTGGAAGTAGATATCTAAATAGGCCATACAAGTTTTATCCTAAAACTGCCTGTTCCTCTCCATGGACTATAAAGTCTAAGATGAATTGCTTTGTACATAGACAGGTACATTGCAAGGTATTTCTGTCTATGATCCATGCAAGATGTTTACATTATATAGATGATTACTGCTATAAAATAGTGTATGAAATTATGGGTGTACCTATCATAACCAACTACTCAGAAAGATAAATTAGGGACGTAAGTCTTTGGCTTTGCTTTCTGAAGCTTCATTGTAAATATAAACTTAGCATTAGCACAGTGAATCGTCAAGTTTGGCTGTTAGACTTGTATCTGTTTACAGATGTGTCCCACTTCCCTTGACAAAGTGAAAAAGGAAGTAACAGATGAGAATTAGGTTTCATGAATGTGGTCAGATAAGGTCAGACTAGAAGGTATAGAAAGGTTCCTTTTTTATTCCAGTAAACAGGAACTTGGTGTACAGAGTGAAGAATTCCACTCATGTACTGTTGCAGTTTCTTCTAAATGGGTAATTTCACACTCCATATTCCTTAATTATCAAGGTACTCTGACTAGGACATTGTCTGCATTTCAAATATGAGTATTTTCCTGACACTGATTCCTGCTTATTGGAACAGAATCCATGACATGCCTTTCTCCATCTTTAAGACAATTTGTGTGGATAGTTTGTCAAGCTAGTCTAGTACTCTTAATAGCCTGATCATGTCAAAATAACAGTAGTTCAGCTCAGAAGCTTTTAAAAATACCAAGGATATAATTTTTCTTTGTTTTGAGTTAGATGTCTGTTATTTCTGGTGCTCTGTAGGTGTACTAGGTTACTGTTGCTAATGTGACTTTGACTGAGCACTCTTAATTACCAGGGGGCACAGGAGCTGTAGAACAGTGCTGGAAACAGGCTCAGGTTCCCTGAGGAAAGGAGCAGCATAGTGGCATGGGACTTTGTAACCTCTGTGTTTGCAAGGTGTTTATGAGAGTAATACAGTGACTCTGTATAAACAGGTATTGTGGGATTGTTTGCTCTGAAATGAAATAGCCTAAGCTGATAGAGGTTTATTATTTTTATTTATATTAACGTGCCATTGGACTTGTTAGGAAAAAGAAGTACCAGAGGTGAATCTTCATTTCTGGATTGTAGCATGCTTTTTTCCAGACGTGTTTTATTTGTTTGCTGTTCCTCCACCCCAATTTTGATAGTGAAATAATCAAGAAGCTCAAGAAACAGTATTTTGTGGGCTTTTGTTTATTTTTGACATGTAGAACAAGTTATAGTGATCCCAAGAATGAGGGTGTCGTGCATTTCAAAATAAGGCACAATTGCCCAGTTTGTTTGCAGGACTCTGTGGATTTGTTTCTTTATTTAAATTTCTGTATTTGTGATAGTGGAAGCCCTGCACACTGAAGTCATGGAGTTCATATTTCTTGTTTTATATTTTTCATTTTTTATCTGCCTCTGTGCTTTGGTGTGCCTGTATTTTTCTGGCTGCCAAGAAATGACATATAAGCATGAAGGTAAGAAGTTACTGATTAGCTCATCTGATTGCATTACAAGGAATTAATCTTGGCTAATTTTCAACATGCTATATTAATTACTTGAAAATAAGATATTTATGTATAAAGTGAAACTACTTTAGCAACAGAGGAATCAGATGATTTATAGGTAGGTATATATAATCCAAAACACTAAAAATATGAGGGTATATTGAAATTTGCATCCAGTGTAGTCTGTGTCACTGTTGATTTAAAACATTCTTAACTTTGATGTTTACAGAACACCATACTTCAGTAGAAGCATTAATGCTTGAGTTGTAAAGATCTAATGTGCAATTTTACTTTAAAATTATGTGAAAACATTGCTATAAATCCGCAAGACAAATACTTATTACATGCATGGCAGTAGGCAGTGGGAATTAGATTTTAAATCAGAAATTTTGAGCGATTTATATGACTATTTTGTCAGGAAGTTATAATTTACAAGTAAGAACTGTAAAAATCAATATAAAATAATCTTTAAATTGTTAATTGAGAATGTTCCCATTTTTAAGAAAAGTCTGAATGAAACTTGAATGAAAATAGTGTATAGTTACAAAAATCCAGTGAATGTTGCACATGTTTGTATATACTTTTCAAACCCCATTTTGATTCAGTTTTTGAGCTCTATGTGGAATGTTCCTGGGAGCTGATGTATTTATTTATGCCTTATTTATTAGTGTTTATCAACAAACTTTGTATGAATCAGTTGTTTTTGTTTTTGTTTTCTTTTGTTTTTTTTTTCCTCTCTCTCTCCAGCTGTTCCCTTATCAGTTACTTTGTTCTGGTTTTGCTGTGAATCACTTCTTGTACCTAGTTGCCTCAGATGTTAGAAGGTCAACAGTAAAAACAGCTATTTTGTAATTATGTCATGAAGCAATACACACGTGTGCAATTAATATACAATGGTAGAATCATAGAATGCTTTGGGTTGGAAGGGACAGTAAAGATCATCTAGTTGCACCCCCCCTGCCACTGGCAGGGACGCCTCCCACAAGACCAGGTTGCACAAGGTCCCATCCAACCTGGTCTTGAACACCTCCAGTGATGGAGTATCCACAGCTTCCCTGGGCAACCTGTTCCACTGTCTCACCACCCTCACAGTGAAGAACATCTTACAAATTTCTAATCTAAATCTACCTTCTTCCACTTTGAACCCATTACCCCTCATCCTATCACTACAAGACCTTTGAAAAAGTCTCTCCCCGGATTTCTGTAGGCCCCCTTCAGATACTGGGAAGCCACAATAAAATCTCCCTGGAGCCTTCTCTTCTACAGGCTGAACAACCCCAACTCTCTCAGCCAGTCCTCACAGGAGAGGTGTTCCAGCCCTCTGATCATCTTTGTGGCCCTCTGCTGGACCCACTCCAACAGGTCCATGTCCTTCATGTGTTGGGGGCTCCAGAGCTGAACACAGTACTCCAGGTGGTGTTGGAAAAAAATAAATGGAAAGCAGTTTATACTTCTAAGGAGGACTTTTAAAAATAGATACTCTAAATTATTTTTTTTAAAAAAAAAATTTTGTATAAATTATGAAATTTGTTGCACATTGTTCTTTGGAATACTTTTTCCCATTTGGTTCCACATAATATATGTTGCATTGTACTTGGTCACTTTCTTCTGAAAAGACACTGCATTCCCCTACTGTGAATCATGGAAGATCTATCATATTTTGGTACTTAGCTTTTATACTTTTACCTTATTCTACTAGCAATTATGCAGTGCTATGTGCAGATTGGTTCTTGGAAGTTCAAATGATGTTGAAAAAGTAGCTTGCTTATTCAGAGAATAGGGGTTTACAATAGAAACTTTTTTTTCTTCCATGATACTAAAATAATGATCAGAGAAGACCTTGGCTGCTGCTTACTGGGTCATTGGGGTTTTCCAACTGTTTTACTAGTAACTAAGAAAAACTAACGTTTCAGAGGCATGTTGTGGAGACATTTTTTGGATTTGACGAAGAATCTGTTGATTCGGAAACATCATCTGTAACTTCATATAACACAGATAAAACGGACAGGACGCCAGCAACGCCAGAAGAAGATTTGGAAGATGTAAGTAGTAGCTGATTTGTTTTTAAGTTCTGTAAAACTTGGCATGGAGTATAAATGCAAACATTTTTTTCAGCTCTTCTGCCACAGGAACTATGAAAGATTTGGTGGAGAATTTTTTCTTTCAGGTCCAGTAAACACATCCACAGTCACTGCAATAACATTCATAAGGTAAAATTCTGCCAGGTAGATTTGGCAGATATTGGGCTGAGAAATTAAATTGTTTTTTTCAAACCCCTTTTTATTAGTCAAAAGAAATTGAATAGGCACGTTGCTTTGCCAAAATTCAATAGTTACCAGACAATAGTTTGCATTTCAACCTTATAATGTATTTGATTGTTTTGATACCCCCAGGATTTTCTTCCTGTGCTTACAGTACTGAGAAAGGCCTTTGCAATTCATTAAGGCTTAAGTGATCATAGTTAGTAAATACCCACTGACGCATTTTGTCTCAGCTCTCTGATACACTGTGCAGCTGGCCTACTTTAAAAGATTACAGAGCTGAGGACAAAGCACAAATTAGATGCTCTTTTTCATCTTTCTTTCTTGTTCACTAACCTGTGCTTAATACTTCTCAGTCACAAGAAGCTTCCTATTTTTTTTAATATCTAATAATGTAATCTCTCTTCCTTGGAGCTTGAGTTCCTGGAGCAAAAATTAAAGGGAAGGTCGTTTCTTGCCCTCAGCATCATAGGAAAGACCTTGAACGTGTTCATGTCCATTGCTCAACATTCAAAGAAAATTAAGATATTAAAAATACTTCATGTTAAAAAACAAACAAAACAAAACAAAACTTGTGGCTTTTGAGATACAACTTGTGTGTTAGTGTGCTTGTGCTGTAAAATGTTTTTTCCCTGGCACAGTAGAGGGAGATTAGGGGAGTGATGGACTGCATTATAAATAGGACAAACCCTTTCTGAAGCCCTGCTGGTAGTGGAGCTTCTGAAGACAGTGCTACATAGAACTGTTCCTTCTCATCTTTCCCCAGTTTCTTCCCATTACTATATGTTACTACCTAATACAGTAACATACACTGTCCTGAAATTCTGTAGTTGAAACAGTTACTGATTTCTGCATTTCTGTATCATCTTCAAATCACCCTTCCTTTCATTTTCACTTGTTTGGGTTTTCTAAACCTTTATTAAACTTTTAGACTCAATATGAGTTGTGTTGCTTGTTGTGTTTGTGCGCCTATCTGTCTATATAAACAAACCTATTTCATATGTTTTTATCTTTACATTCACAAAACCACTCTTTTTTTTTTTTTTTTCCCCCTCTTCATTAAGAGCACTCCTAAAGAAGAAGCTGAACTAAGGTTCTGCCAGCTAACAAGAGAGTATCAAGCTTTGCAAAGGGCATATGCATTGCTTCAAGAACAAGTTGGTGGAACTCTGGATGCAGAGAGAGAAGCAAGGGTAATTTTTAAAGTGAAATTTCTTTTAGCTCTGAAATTGACATGGCTGAAAAAACTTGGAATAGTAAGGGCTATCTTTGCAGGTCAGTGAAATGCAGAACTATGTTTTTGAGGATTAGAGGGTATTATCAGTAAGGTGACAATATAGTCATCTGTTGTGTTCAGAGCAAAGATATCTTTTATACTTTATTCTATCATGGAAAATGTATTAATTATTTCAGTAGTAAGACAGTGTTATTGAGAATGATATCCTAATTGAACCTGCAATTTGGATAGCAACATGGTGGATTTAAAATGCATTAGCAAATAGGTTAAGTACTTAGGTAGTTATATACACACATGGTAAAAAAATGCTATAAAGGAAGTTTTTATTCAAGAGTTTTGTCAAATGTATAAAATCATAACCCCATTGGACATGGTCTTGAATAGCCTGCTCTAGGTGTCCCCTACGTTTGAGCACAGGAGTTTGCCTTCCAAACTCAGTGAGACTGTTATTCTAAAAAGTGTTTAAACATTAAAAACTCCCTAACCTACTTTACCCCCTGAAAAACCTTGAACCCTAAAAATAGAGAAACATTAAATATTGTGAATTATTACATATTACTGCTTTGCTACATGTGACCTTCCTTGTGTTGTGCCACTGTGACATGTTGCTAATAATGCAGAAAGACAAACAATTTAATGTGGTTTAAAATTACTGGTAGTGATTGACTCAATTCATCCACTAGCTTAGTGGTTGCAATGCTTAGAACAATTAATAAAATATTCACAAAGTTCTATATTGCTAGATTGCTGATGGTTATTAGTCATACATGTTCACTATTTCATCCCCATGATTTTATCTGGCAAGCATTTTAAAATCTAGTTACTGAATATTCTCAGGTATACAAACAGTATGATTGTAGGAGCAGAATTTGTGTGTTAATAAGCAAAACTTTCCAAATAAAAGTTATAGCAGAATGTAGACTGCTTGACATTGATCTTGAGTTATTTACAGCTAAAAATATTAGTCTATTATCCCCAGAGCTAGTATCTAGAAGATTCATAGTTTACTTTAAAATATATAATGTTTTATTTTGTTTTTTTTTCCAAGATTCTTTGAAGTGGCTTTCAGCTACCCTCAATGTTTGGTTTGGTTGATGTGTGTGTGTGTGTTTCCCCGCCCCGAAAAACAGTTCTTATAATAGTAGAATTATTGCTCTATGGCTTTACTTGTTAGTACTCAGCATCTTACAAAAGCTGAGCCATATTTGACACTCTTTTTAAGTAGGACACTTAGCCAAAGAAAGCTATAAGGACTTTGGAGAACACTACACCAAGCTAGAATTGGGATGAGGGACTTAATTACGTCTGCTCTTAAAGTAAGGTTTCAGAAACACTCCTGTATTTGACAGTCATGAGAGACTAATATATATTTTTATATATATATATATATGTACACATATCTCATTTGCCATCATGGGAAAAGGGAACCTGGTATGAATATTTTTGTAACAGGTTTTTTAACTTTTATTTTGCAGGCATTTGCTAACTGTTCCTTTAGTATGCTTTGGAATTGTTGCTCTTTCTTTTAAATGACATTTTGGTCTCTTTTGTCACATCCATGCAAATTCATCTTTTAAATGAGTAAGAAGGTAGCTTTTTGCATGGTTATTTTTGTAGGGGCTCATGTTCTGGGGGTGAATGAAGATTTTTTTATTAATTTTACATGAGCCTTAAGATAAACAAGAAGGAATTAAAGATATGTAGGAGGAAAGCCCTGTGGGAATTTTTGACCGCTTGAGTGAAAGAGTGCTTGAGGTAGGGTGGGAAGGGATTGCAATAGCTAATGGCTCAAGGATCACCAGGGACTGAAAGTCTCCAGAGATATTCTTTTTGTTTTGTACCTTGTATGATCCAGTCCCTTTTAGGTCATCACTGGACGCAGGGTGTAATACCTACTGTAGTGTACTAGTTAATGCAATAATTATATAGAAAGAGGAAAACTGACTGCTGTATTCTGTTTATGGGATAAATAAGTTATTTTTGGTCAATATGTATTTTTTAGGCCTTTTTCAGTGTTTATTGCAATTTTCTTTCTCTCTTGCCCTTTTTTCCCCCAAATGCGTTGAATTAATAATGCTTATGAATAGCTTCTTGGAGCTCTTTTATTTCTTAATTTTTTTTTTCTCTCATGGGAAGAGCTTTGTCTCTGAATATGTTATGATAACTTTTTAGGCTAGAAAGGAAAAATAGCGTTAAATTGATGAGTTTATATAATTTGTAACGTCAACACAAAAGCAGTTATTTTAATGAAAAACATTAAAAGCTGATCGGACAGCCCGTAAGTGGGTAAAGAGTATTTACTTTGATTCTGCGTGATGATATCTGCCTGTCTAACTGGGTTTGCATGCATACACACACTTTTTAATACTTTTTTTTCCCTAGACCCGTGAGCAGCTGCAAGCTGATCTTCTCAGGTGTCAGGCAAAAATTGAGGACCTGGAGAAAGCTCTGATTGAGAAAGGACAGGTAAAAGGCTCTCTTAATGTCCTCTACCACATCATTTTCTCCCTTGCATGCAGTGGTGCCCTTGCCATCTTCATTGCTTGCTGGTGTGTTAGTGTGACTGATACAGATTAATTGCTACTCCAGCAACAGATTACTTTTATCAAAGGGAAGTATTATGTAGGCTGTGAAAATTCCATTAAAGATTAGTTTTCTAACACATAATACACTAATGCATAACACTGAAATAACCGCATGTACATGCATTGTAAATTCTGTTTCCATTGCTATTTGGTGCAGGCTTTTCTCTTGTTTTCTGTTTTCCTTATATTTGCTATAAATTCAAATAAAACAAATATTCTATATTTGTATTGGATAATGTTTTTGGTGTGTAGCATAGAAAAATTTAAAAACCAAATCACTTCCACACTTGCTTCAGCTAGAGAAATGGACTTAGTGTGTCTGGTTAGTCGAAGACACTTGTGGTATTACTGTTCTGGGCTTAAATTCTTGGAGGACCCAGCTGCTTTCAAATTCTCATACCATCACATAGACTAAAATTAGGCCTTATGCTTCAGTGTATCTTGTAAATTCTTGAAGATGTGGCTACTGATACATATTAATAGTGTCTAAGATTAGGATGTTGGGAAGGCTGAATAAGAGTTGTGAGAATGCATGTAAAAGACATTCAGCTACATAATTAATTCTAGAATGCACTGGGAAAACTGGGGAGATGTTATTTTACACTTTATTGTCTGAAATAACAATATTAAGGTTTCAGGTAGCATATGACAATAAGATATAGCTATACATAGATACATAGATACTGATCCTGTAGCACTGAATAAAAACAACCTACAAATAATGATTAACAAGTTAAAGATATTATTTTTATGATTTATTCATTTTAAGAAAATCTTTCTGTAAGATTCTGTTTGGGGACCACATTCAAATTAAGGATAAAACTTGTTTATTTTAGCTTCCTCATAAACTGCAATTTGCTTAGTAAATTCCATGTAAATACAATATTATTAAAAATAGAGAATATGTTATCAATCTAAAAATGATGGCTCGCTGAGCTTTTGGAAGGATAAATGGAACTGAAGACCTCTTGAGGATCTACTGCTGACTTTTAATTGTGTTGATAACATGAGTGTTGTGGGCAAATTGCTCTGTAATTGAAAACATTAACAAAATAGTTGACTATTACAGTGTAAACTGTAAGTACCATGTATGTAAACAAGTGCAGATGGATACACATGTAAGAAATTACTTCTGTTACTTTTGCTTCCAGAATGATTTGTCAAAAAGGTATGCCTGGAAATTAGAATTTAATTAGTTATTATCTTATGAGGTTCATAACCACAGTTTCAACAATGTATCTCTTAGTAATCCTGAGAAGGCCAACAGGGATGTGACAAGGAGCAATATGATATTGTCTCTAGTGGGCTAGTTCATACACTGAGCATTAGCTTTCCATGGAAATGGTCAGTGTCTTCCTGGGAGCTCTAGCACCTGCTTGGTTCTCCTGACCTGTTAGTATTTGCATTGAAGAAAATAAATGGTTGTGATGATAAACTGACTACTCTGTGCACTATGTGATTTTTATTTTTTTGTTGTTGTTATTTATTATTACTTTCTCATTTAGAAGTTCATGGTAGTAGTGATAATTTAATAATATTTGTGAAATGTTCTCTTGGGGAACTAGTCCCTAAAAGTGCCTTTGAAAAGGAAACAACGAATCAAAAGATCCTAGTGTGTCATGCCAGGAATTTTTAGTCTTACTTTACAGCTTTAGGAAACGGAAACGGAAAACACCTTCACAATTTTCCTGAAGTCAGAGCAGGAGATGAGAATCTTCTTTTTAGATCGCTTGAAGCTCAGTTTATGACGGTTTCTGTGTAATTTCAAAGTACATGTCAGTGGCTCTTCTTAATGTCTCATCAGCTCAATCTGTCACAATTCCCCTAGATGTAAAATAATACTAATCCACTTCTGCAAGGTATATTGAGATAAGAAACTATATTAAAGGAAGAAATTTTTATAAAATGCTAATAGTGGTAAATTATAAATGTCAAAATATTGGAGTATGTGATGCGTCAGGTGGATAATTTTTTTTTTTTGAATGCTCAGCTCTATCAGTGACCCAGTAGGTTTATAAATACAATTCTACTGGAGTTAAGGTTTTCTCAGAAAGTTGAGTTGAACTTCATCAATAACGACACAAAAGTTAATTATCGATAGGGTAAATTAAACTATTTTCTCTATTTGTGTGGAGTAGCTGAACCTGCAGGTCTGATGTGACTGCTGAAA